AATACGAGCGATGAGGGAGCATTTGGTGAGTAATAAGAGAGTACATTTGAAGTAACTCACATAGTGCTCACTTTTTACTCCCTGAACGCTCGGAATTTTCTAAGAGTGTATGATGCCATCAACAGCAATCGATTCGAGTCTAGATACTCGAATGCGTTGCCCAAACGTCATCCAATCCTTTCAGCTATTCTGAGCAGTTCAATCGATCATATTTTCAGACATATCAGCGAGCCTACAATTAAAGATGAAAAATCCCCCAGCATTCTTGGCCAGCAGGCCCAAAACCGCCTACCTCTTGGCACGCCCACGAACGTTCCCCATCGCAGAAGACCCAGGCGAGGACTCGGTGAGACCTGTCCTTCCAGCACGCGGCCACGCGCCTCGCGTCGATCCAATTCACATCTATCAGGTACCATTCCCTGTGCGAGAGGACAGAGATAGTGAGGTCTTGTCATGGTAGGGTCAACAATTTCTCTCTTCCTTTGTTTGATGAAGAACGGGCTCATCTGTGTGGAAAGCTGATTAGCTTCGCAGCGGCCAGACTCAGGCTTCGTTACCAGCCCCTTCTCCTTCATTCCATCCATGACTCACTTGTCTCGAAATGATCGGGGCATCTCGAGCGGCCGGATTCGTCGTTCCGACAGAGACTCCTTGTCCAAATCCAGAATCCACAGCTTCACCGAAGGAATCGCTCCACCCGGCTTAAAAGAAAAGGCAGTCGTCTCATTTCTCCCCCGATCGATCGGAGACTCTGTATCCGGAAAGGCTGCGAGCTCACGAGAGGGTACTTGAAGGGTTCGACGTGGGGGTACTGTCGGGAGACACTGTCGCCGTGAACAATCGAAAACATTTCTCCCACGCCGGTGTTGTTGAAAGACGCGAATACCAAATGTGCCCCGTCCGGCGAAGGCCAATACCCACGACCGTCTCGTAGGATGTTTTCTGGTCAAGAAAACATGAAAATTGATTATCATTGAACGAGTCGAGTAATTATTTCTCTCAGCTTCGGAATAACACAACCGAATACGAGTTAATTCATTATTCAGCTTATTCTTGTGTTTTAGGCTCTGTTCTTATTTTATGTTTGCTTTATTTCGTTTTCTGCAATGTATTCTTCCTTGTCTAGATTCCATCCCCTCATTTCACGTTGTTTCATTTCTTCGGTTCGGTTTTTACTCGTCAACTGAATAGAAAGCGTACGCCGGTAGAAAGGGTCGGGCAAGGCATTGAAGACGCCCTCCCGTCCGGACGCAGTGATGCGGGACGCGTTCCCCTCCGGCGACGCCTTCACGAAGAGATCCCCGCCGCGGACGAGGAGAAGGCTGTCCCCCGCGTTCGTCCACGAGGCTTCCTGGATTTCTTTCTCCTCCGAGCTCAGGTGAAGTTGGAAGAAATGGCTGCGAATGGCAGGGCAGAACTCGACGTGCATGGAAGTACGAGATAAGATAGGCAGATTTTGGCAAGTATCAGGCTCTGAAACGCGTCACACACGAGGAGTTACGAGAAATATTTTGAGCGTAACACTAGATAGCTTTTTGTCGTCGTGGCTTTTCGTGGACCGCTGAAATTCCAGACAGTCGCTTTCCCTGAAATTTATTCTGTTACGCTGGTGAAGGCATTTCACCCAAAAGTTTAAAGGAATGCGAGACGGAATACTGATTTGTAGAACGGAAATGCTTCACGCTGAAACAGGCAAGAGACAGACAGACAAAACTAAAAAGAATAGAGGCCCAACGTAAGCGAACGAGGCCACTCTCGCAGAATCCGTGACGCCAAAGACGAGAAACGACCGAGACGAGGCAAGTCTTCGCGTGTCGCGGTTTTCTCACGACCGGGTCTGCCCCTCTCTGCCGTGTCTGTTTCAAGGTGAAGTTCCCGAAGCCGAATGTAGCTGCGGCACGAAAGCTGACGAAAGGGGCGGGGGGTGGAGGGGGGGGGGCCGGGGGGGGGGGGGGGGGGAGAGACCTTGGGAAGAGCATGCACAGGAAGTTTGTTCGTTTCGCTGGGTTCAGCGATTTCTTGGCCGATTTCCCATCCCGTGATCCTCTTCTCTCTTATCGCGACGGGGTTTTCCCTACCTCATTACTTCGTGATTATTTTTGAACGAAACAGAACTCACTCAGACGGAATGTCGTAAATTGTGTAGGAGGTGAGACTCCTCTCCTGTCTCGACTTTCCCTTCGCGTGCTAAAAGACAGAAAAAAAAATAAAGGTGCATGATATAAAGATGAATCATTCATCGAACTCCCTTGAAATATGAACTCAAGGATTTTCCTCAAATTCCCGCTCGAGTTCGCGTTAATTTAACGTGTTGACTTGTTGATCTCGAGGACACTGCATAGACTGCACCGAAGACCCTCGTAACCCTTGACCTTCGCATCATGAAATTAGAGCCGAGCTCGTTCGGATGGAAACGATCCATGCATTCTGCATCGCTCTTTCCCTTCGATGCCATGATTCTTTCAATACGCTGGTTGGGTGAAAGAAGGAAAGTGCGTTAGGCCGAACGATCGATGCAGTATCTGAATACGTCTTGTTAGAAGGAAGGTCGACGTTAGCCCCGCCCTGGAGAAAGATCTTTTTTCCTGTCCGTCAGGATTCTGGACTACGTTGGCGCGAAGTTCATCATTCCAGTTTTTTTCCCACTTTTTTTTATAAAATGAAACACAAGCTGATTTTTTCGTCGGTTTTGCGTGAGACTCTGAGCTCCAGGAAACAATTCTACATTGCGGATAAAAATGCACCTCAGAGTTTGACCTTTTGACCCTTAAAATCTGGCGATCAAAAATGCCCGAAAACGAGGAATTAATGTGCTCAAACCTTGGAAGTTCCACGACAGTCCGGTCCGCGCGGGGACTGAAAGAACGGGTTGGCCATTAGATATGCGCGATGCGCCATGCGCAAGATCTATTCCTCCCTTTACGTCACGATCGACTGGATGCGATATGCGAAGTCTGCTCGTGATCGTTGAAAGCTGGGCAATGTAATGGCGTGTTGGTTCTCGTTTCATTGTGGAAAACACACGCACGATTGCTGAAAGAGAGCGGTGAGGGATTCGAGGGAATGAGAACAGGTAGAACAGAGACGAAAATTTTTTTTTAGCTGAGTCAATGGGTTTACAAGCCTGCCAGCTGTTCAAACGGCTAAGTTCGGATGTAAATCTCATTCATATCGCCGAAGTTTACGTTTATTACGCAACACGTCTCGACCCGAGACGCCCCCGCGTACATAAATGACTCCCAGATGAGGGCGAAGAGGCAGTTCTCACCTCGTGCACCTCCCGAATGAGGACGAAGCGGCGACTTGGCGAGAGCCGGAAGTCTTCCCCCCACATCACTTGCTTCTGCAATGGCATCACGTCAGACCGAGTTTCCACTGGTTGGGGGGCGGGGGGCGGGGGAGGGGGGGGGGGGGGGTCTGCGGGGGGGGTTCCCATTTTTTTTAGCACTCACGAATGGCTGTTGAGGAATGATGTCGCTCTCGATGGTGCTGTCGACGTTGTATACGACGAGCTTGCAGTCGTCTTTCACGTACAGCAGTTCATTTCCTGGCCGAAGTGGAAAAAGGTCATGAAAATGTTGAGAATGAAACATTAAATAAATTATTAACTTGATAGTGAAGAAATCAAAGAAATCACTTTCTTACAAAATGCAAGTAAATTGTTCTCTGTATCTAGCTTGAATAAACATGAAAAATTAAAGTTCTTGGAAATTAAATTTTCAGAAGAAAAAAAATCTCAGTGAATTTCACCCGACTTGAGGACGTTTTTCGAAGCCAAGTATCGGCAACGCAAAAAAATTCAAGTTTGTCGAGTTTGAACATTAGTGAAACTCAGAAAGTGAAGTCGCCTTTGAAGCTGGGACAACTGCTCCGTTCCCCTCAAGAAGTTGTACGGGGAAAATAATTGTAAAAATTTCCTCTGCGTGAATAATTGCCTTCAGTGCTCTTGGTCGTGAGATATTTACCCCTGAACTGCTTACTAACTCATGAGAGTGTCACGTTATTGTCCTTCCTTGCTTCTTCAATGAATGCAACTTTTAAAAATAGGTTGTGGAATTATGCGATTTCCAAAACATTTCCATGCGATGTCCTTGAAGGCAACGATCGAAAACGAGCACGAAAGTAAATGAAAATGTGTGAGAAGGCCTTCGGCGGTACTTCTAATCGTATCTTGCAGAGGAAGAATCGTCAGATTGCATCTCGCCCCTCGTCATAAGAGGCTCTCTTCCCACATAGACGACCGAACAGATAAGAGAGGTCCTCCTCGTTGTCATTTCGTACGCAGCCATTCATTCCGAGGTGTTTCCATTCCTTTTTTTACGCCGCCTTCTGTCGTCGCATCCGTGCATGGAACTTTTGTCTCTGTCCAGCACTCACCGTTTGGGCAAGTTTTGGGAAGGGTCCTCTTCAATATACAAAAATAAGCAAGATTTATTCACAGCTAAAGTAAACGAAATTCCATGTCATTTGGGGTTCTATAAAAAAAAATTCATTTATGAAAGCTCAGTTGATCATGATTTCACATACTCTATACAATGGCAGCGATTCTTCATTTTAGCACCCCACTTGGGCTGTAATCTCGATTCTGCTCAACCAATAGTTCTCAAGAGGATATCGTGTTCTCTTCGAGACTTCAGCGCGACTTGCTCGAGTCGCCATCCGGTTTGCATGCGAATTTCAAGATTGTGCAACCCTTGTGATGGGACTGGTTGTTCTTTTTCTACTCGATGAGATGATCGCGCTCTTCCGGATGCCGGAACTTAGCGCTTCTTTAATTTCCACTTCCACGCATATGTGCGCTTTTGAAGCGCATGATTGCCCTTTTGGAGCGATGCCATGAAATGAGTCGCTATTATCTGCCCTGTGCTCTCGACGGTATCAACATGACCGTCCATCATCCTCGTTCGGAGGAATCGTCTGGCCAAAGTGTCGGTTTTTTTTTGTACGCTACGCAGGAAAGTCATTTGAAGGGGAATCGAAGAGGATTCTCAGGAGATGGATTGCACTCACTCGACCCGAAAGGAAAGACAAAGCTTGAGACACCTGAGATCCAGTGAGCGATCCACGGTTTCGACCGGAAGAGTCCCTGCAAAAACCTCGGCAGCAGCATCCGCTCTCCCCGCAACCGCGGTCCCGCATCGTACATGTTGAGGATCACCACCGCCGTCACCACCAGAAGCGACACCAAGAGGATGATGGCGAGTGCGATCCCGATTCCCTTCCAGTTCCTCCGGGGCACGTTCGAGGCCGTGTACAGCTCCTGCAAAGGGAATCCCCGTCCCAACGCTTTTAATATGTGCTGTTCGACATGGAGTGAAATGAAACGTGTCATCGATCGGATGTCGGTGCCGGCTGCAAAAGTTTTCGTGGCAAGGCCTCTTTGATCGAAGGGAGTGGAAAAGTCCAATATTCTCGCAGAACCACTCGATAAATAATGACGGAAGTGTTACCTTGACCCGTCGGTCCATCCTGGGAAAGGCGAGAGCCACGCACTTCAACGCAGACGCGATCCGTGACCGACGTATTACTTCGAACGTACGCGCGCACCGAATGAGATAATCGTATTAAGACAGAAGAGAAGAAAGAGTGCGGAGATATTCCAGCCCTCTTTCTCCTTTTCCCGCTTCTCCCAGAATCTAGCCAGAGATTGCCTGGCTCGCTTTTTGTTTCCACGCTCCACCGAGTCCGTGGTTTCCAAATTTAGGCCGGCTTCCTCCCTGCCAATTCCGCCCTTTCGAGTTTGACCTTGCGTTCTGGTCTTAAAGGCTTAAAGTCTTAAAGGCGGAGGAAACAAAAGAGCGGTTTTATTAAATATGGGAAGAAACGACGTCTAATTGCAGTAATGAGTTCGAAGATGTCGAGAGGCGGCTTTGGCGCGGGTCCAAGCATTTGCTGGTCGGGGACAAAAACTTGTTTGTCAAATGAAGACAGGGCCCTTATTCTTCAGCGGCTCATGAATCATTCGCGTCCCTTCACGAGTCCAGAGTTTTTTTTTCCTCTTTGACCTCTTCGAAGACAGAAATCAAAGCGTGGTGTCGAGGTCGGAGTGCGCGTCAAACGAGGTTCTACGCTAAATATTGCCGTTTCGATGCAACCTGGATAAACGAGCATGTTTGTACGAAGTAAAACAAATAGACTGAGCCCAGCTTTTTCAACACGATTGCTCGTGATATTAAACAGAAGCACACTGTCGCTTGACGCCTCGATCTGGAACGGACGATTTTCCTCGAGAAAGCATCGAAATGGACAACATAATCGCGAAATTCTTCACCAATCCCATCCAAAGCCTAGACGTACCATTAAGGAAAAAAAAAAGCTGCTTAGAAAGCTGGAGTCTATTCCCTCGCTCTCACCCACAGATCCGCAAGAATCCGTTTTTTTGTTTCCCTTCCCATCCGCTGATTGAATCCAATTGCATCCTCGGCGAGGCCGAGACGCGACTGAGCAGCTTGAATCTCATGAGTCTCATCTCATGAGTCTCATCTCATGTCCAGTTCCTCTGTCTCTCTCGGATTCGTCCCGCAGGGAATCAGGATTCCAACCGAGTCGGCACTAGGAGCTGCATACTCATGAGTATGATTCGTGCAGGCGCATTAAACCATTGGAAAAGATGGCCTCGAGACTGGGCCCGAATGCACAAACCTCAATTTGGGGGGATAAGGGGGCCTTTAAGCTAATGTGCTTTTTTTCTCCCTTCGAAGTCAATGCATTCTTAAAGGACCGTTAAGTAAAGGAGATTTAGGTTTAGGTTGGGGGCTAAGAATTCGCATGCGATTTATTGCAAATCCGTGTGCTCATCCACATTACACCATCTCTTTGCTGGGTTATGAGGTATGCTTCAAATATAGCCTGGTCAAGTTGGTGATAGTGATTTAAAATGTGGCATCGATGCAAATGCCATCACTACATTTCCATGCTTGAAAAGGGTTCAGCACTTTCCTTTGTGATCTGAATGAACGAAGTCATTTCAGGCTCGGAATGAATGGGTTGGGAATTGCTCGAGGATCCTTTTCAAGGGTTCCGAAAAAATTCTTCATATCGAATGAGATTATCGAGTCTTTCTGTAAGGACTTATTGTCGCCAGAAACCCACGATGGCCGCAATGATCGATCGAGAAGAATGAGAGCCTGCAGCCAGAAAAAGCAATAAGGCGGGCTTGATTCCCCCTGGCGGATCGCGCGCCGTTCCACAGCTCCTCAAATTCTACGGGATGGTCGAAGGAAAGGAGACAGCTGAATTCTGCAGAAGGCGAAATACGTATCGATGGACATGCTCTTCGTATCGAGCCTGAAAGCACGGCAGCGAAGTCCGTCCGGGAATCTCGAATGCTTCGCAGCGGCACGGTCGGTTTGAAAAATTTCTGGCTCGGCTGCTATCGGCTCCCCGAAGATGCCAAGAGCGGCGTGACACCCTCGTCGCGTCGATGATGAGTCTCTCGCTTATCTTTTTACTCATCAGTCATCCGCTGGTCCCCTCCACTCGTTCCATCAATCGCTGTCGGGGAAGACCCACGAGATGAAGCGATGGGGAAAGTTTCGTCCACTCGAGAATCTCGAGCAGCAAAGCTGGGGAGCGAAGGCTCCCCAGCTTTGCAATCCCTGTGGATTCCATTTTTAAATTGGTTCGGGAAATCCACGCCGTATCAGGTCACGTTCCGGCGCCTGATCTACTCGCACAACTACGGTTGTGTGCGTCGGTGGAATTGCTACGCCCCTCCGTTCATGAATATGCCTTTCTCTTCTGTCCTTAATGAGGTAAGGTACTAATGGCTTTGAATCACAGCTCGCCAAAAATGAGGACGGTTTAGGACATCGATGAAAGCCATCACTTCCCACTGAAGCTCACTGGAAGCCTTCGCTCAATGTCTAACCAATACGAATTCATCCTCTGGATGCAGAAATCGGCACAATTCCCCACAGGCCTCCCCCATTCCCCAGCACAATTCAGAGGCTCTTATTACCCTCATAACCTTATTATTCTATCTGGCCACCATTCCTATGGTGAGATCAACGAACATGCCATGTATCGGGACAGGTTTTTGGCCCCGAAGGATACATGGGAAAACGTGCTGCTGGGTATTTCGCGTTCTGTCACATTTGGGTTTTTTTTTTGGACCGCCCTGTTCCACGATTCTCGAGCTCCACATTCCGTTTCGCTCTTTCACTCGTTCGTATTCTATTTCCTTAGCTGTCAAGGATTTCCTTGTGAGAAGCTAAGATCAGAGAAACAGGAAGAGAAAGTGACAAAAAAAGGAAACGTTCGAATCCTTCGCGATATCACATCCCTCGCATAGGAAGAAGCCTTTTAAAGTTATTTTCGCAGGATGGGGCTTGGCTTATCTCGAGCGGGAGCGAGGGGAGAACTCCGTATTGTTCTGCGGGATCCAGCGGGGGAGACTGAAAAAAAAAGAGGCTCGTTTTTACGGGAGTTCCATTTGGTAAATGTGCCTCCATTTTGGAGGTGAAAAGTGTTTCTGACACCCCAAACTTTGCTTCTGTTTGACCCTGACGGATATTTAACGGGGCATCCCGAGGGGAATCTCGCGAGACCTTTCTAAATTTGTTACGGCGGGGTTGCTTTCGGAATACGGGACGAATGTTGGATCAGATCCAGGATTTCCTAGACTGGACTTCCCACCTTGAGGAAGGGACCTTTCGCCTTAGGAAAGGGACCAATCTATTCCAAACCGAAATCCGAAATTCTCCTTTTTCATTTTACGCTTTGAATCCGAGCGTGGGAAGCGTACGGTGTTATTCTTCACTCGCTCTTCTTCACGCAGCAATATTAAATAATTTTTTTCGTCATTCAAAGTATCTCTCCGTTTTCGCCTCTGCTCGCACATATTGTCGAAAGGGCGCGAAGTGTTTCCACTTCTTCATTATGAACGATCCGCGTTCGTCGCAATTTTTATTTTTAGAAGGGCACGTAGATAAGAAGGAATCGCGTGTTAGATTTCCTCGAAAGTTACGCGATCGTCCGGGACTCTCAATATGCCTCTAAGAGGCCATTTAATTGTCTAAACAATTTCCTCGGGTTTTACAATTGGGTGACGGAGCAGAGACGCAACGGGAATCCCGTGGACATCGTCTATTTAGATCTCTCGAAGGCCTTCGAAACCGTTCCCCACAAGAAATCGCCGGTTAAATTAGAGCAGCGGTTCTCGAACTGTGTGCCACGGCACCCTGGGGTGCCGCGAGAAGCTGGCAAGGGTGCCGTGGGCGTTGAAGGAATTTTCGGGCATTTCGACAAGGTCGTGCAATGAGGCCAGAAGTCTCTACAATGCTACGGGTGTATTCGAGAATTACGGAGCGGGCAGGAAACTTCGGATGAAGAACTTCTAAAGTGCGACACTTCTGACTTCATAGATGTTCCCTTAATAAAAGTGCATACCAGGAGTATGCAATATGAGTCAATTTTGATCACAATTGACTCATATTGAGTACTACTGGTATGCACCTTTATTAAAAGAATATCTATCAAGGGGGAATGTCAAGATCAATATTGTCGCTGCAACAAAGATACAGATTCCTTTTTACCACCAGATACGTACGTCTACCTTTCTTACTCTCGGTACTGAAAACAACGTTCATGTCCCGTCTAAGCATTACAAGTGAACTGCATGAGATCACTTCAAAATTTGAGCAGCATCTTGATTTTTAGGACGACCAAAGGCAGGCGCAGGTATTGCGTTGGAGTGAAAAAAAAAGTTTGAAGACATTAAACAAACAAAAAAAATTTCCAGGTGACAGATCAAAATAAACCTGTCGTGCGTGAATTCGGAAGTCCTGGTTAGGCTCATTTTATCGGTTTACCATGTATAATAATATTACTTAAATTGGAGTTTCGTGGATGTGTCGGGTGCCGCCGACGTCTCGCTGTCTGCAGAGGGTGCCGTACAAAGAAAAGGTTGAGAACCGCCGAATTCGAGGATTAGGGCTAGGGGATTAGGGCCACGGGATTAGGGCTAGGACGAGCGAGTGGATCGACGACGAAGACAACAGCGAGAGATTGCGAACGAAGAAGTGTCGGGACGAGCGAGCTGAGTCCCGGTGTAAGATCAGCGAATTTGCCGACAGCACCGAAAATAGGTTTTTCTATCAAGGGGGACAGGGTGAGAGCCGAGCAGGATTCGCAGCTGTTAGACGAATGGAGCAAGAGATGGCTCATGAGGCTTAATAAAATTAAATGTACGGCGCTACACATCGGGCATGATAACGATAAGTCTCTCAAAGATTTCGTCGCAGTCAATCTCGAAGATGCAAACGGGAGAAAGATCTATGGATTACTATCGATGAAGGAACCAAGTTCTCCTCGCACGACGGTAGCTAAATTTAACAGGATCCTAGGCTTCATCCGACGTTCCATAACCAGTAAGACTTCGCGCGTGATTCTTCCGTTGTATGCGGCGCTAATGAGACCCCATTACTGCATTACCCCGTACTGCGTTCAATTTTGGAGGCATGCTAATAAAAGCGCTTCAACAGCGCTCGAGTGGGTACAGAGGAGGACTACAAGAATGATGGAGGCTAGGGGACTGCCGCATGAGGAGAGATTGCGTGTTGGGGCTGTTCTCGCTCGAGAGAAGGCTAACGAGGAGGGGGGGGGGGGGAGGGATGGACCTCATCCAGGCTTTTAAAATCATCAAAGGAATAGAGAGCGTTGAGCGTGAGAGGTTTTCCCAATTCGACGGCAATGGCAGAACTTGGGACCGAGTAAACCGCAAGTGCGGCTCGAGTCGCGTCAGGAATTCTTTACTTGTAGTGGATGCATGGAATGCGTTGGATGCCTTCACGAACGAATAAATAAAAAGGAGCAATAGATGTAAGTGAATAAGCGGTGGGTGGATATGGAGTAGGTGACTGGGCCTATGTGTGCTTCCCCTTAAAAAGAAAATCCTTTTTGCATTTCTAAATCTTGAATCATGGATAATAAGTTGGCCGATGAAGCAGTTCTTAGGGCCGGATGAGATCGATGAATGCCAACTGCGAACCTCGCGTCTTTTTCTTCTGTCCAAATTAATTACGATCGCTGAAATGGGCACAGAATCCACGAGGAAGAAGACTGTCACTCCATGACAACGTCTCTTCTGTAAGTGTCATGATTCTCTGACGTGTAAAAAAAATGGCACATGGGGCTCTAACTACAGGTGTTCCAAGTTTCTCCTGCGTCAGATTTTTCCAACTTCACAAAAAAATTGGGAATATACTGGCAAGGTCTCGCACGTGGTTTGTAAGATTAGACAAGTGCCATTTTTCACTTGATAAATTCTCGTGGCCCGGGAAGTTTCTGCTTTTTTCCAAGTAATCATGTTACAGAATGATAGTTAATGAGACTCAGTTACAGACTCGATGAGAATTTGTTTGGGTTTGAATGGCCTCTGATGTTGACCGATGTTCGTGAGCAATGGAGAAAATCCGACCTAGGACAATAAGTTAGGCACTTTAACCCACCCGTGTGAAGGCTTGACAGCTTGCCAGAATAATGCTTTTCGAGACGGTTCCTCTCATTTCAGAATCTTTCGCTATTTTTTTTCCTCGAAGAGATGCATAGAGAAACTGAAAGTATGAGCGAGGGCTCTGTTCTAAAAATAATTCTCAAATTTGATCCTTTCGAGCCATACCGACAGAAGATCCGCGAGCCAAACCGTCTCGCAAACGGAGATCTCGCATGATCCGATCGCGACACCTCGTTGAAATTCTCTGCAGTTTATCGAAAGTCCGTTCGACCTGGGAAATGAGAGAGGGCAAACGTCGGGCTAAAGGATTGATGAAACTGTTATGTGACGAATGCCGAATGCCGCATTCCGTGGGCGGCTCAGGCAATCCGGCACGATTCCATTTCGACGGATTCTCGATACTTCATCTCGGTTGTCAGCCTCAGAAAAAGTGGAGAAAAAAAAAACCAGTTCTCTAAGGGCAGATCATCTCGCACCCACTAGCTGACTCCGGCTGCAAGAAACCAACTCTGCCTCTTTTCTTAAGCTCGGAACGAATCGAGGTCTGGTCGTACCCGCTTCGAACGGCAGGATTTTCTCACTATTTCCGTTGAGAAAATAAAAGAAGACTCGCCAAGAATGCCTGGCATGTGGGTCGTTTAAAGAGGTACGCACAAACGGGGGGGGGGGGGGGAGAAAGGGAAGAACGCGGGGGAAGGGATTTATGATTCAGGCAATATTCCCGAGGAAACCTTACAACACCCACCGTTAATCAGATCGCATCAAAATTTATTGTCAGGATGGGCTCGTTTCATCAGGATCGATATTGACGAATCCGAGAAGATGGTGTGGGCGTTATCGATGCGACCGACCTTTACGACCAGATTTTGTGAAAAAAAAATTCTTAGACTGCGAAAGAAAGTTGAAGTTGCTCACACGTAGAAATTTCAACATCATCTTCTCGTCCTCGTCCCATTCCTCTTCTTCCTCCATGACGACTCGAATTCGCGTACGACGACACGCCCGCGATCAGAAACCGCAGGAACACCCGCACGGTCCGTTCAACGTCTGCCTGCCCTTTCGGCGTATGCGATCGAACGAGGATTCACTGGGGTTTCCATTGGCAACGCATCAATTAATGACACCAGGCTTTCACTGAGCATGCCCCATCGACTGGAAAGGACATCCCTCCAAACACGAAGACGAGATGAGACTGAAGTTCCCCCACTTTCGGAACGAAAGAAGAGTGCGAGGGGGCCCGATAGACCATAATGCATGGAGGCGCATGCGAGGGACCCGCCGCCTTTCCACTTCATTCAACCTTGTTTTGGCCCGACCTGAATCCACCTCTTCTCCCTTTTTTGTTTATGGAAGGGGGAACATTCCTGGCTAACAGTGTCTGTCTGTTGCATCTCATCAGTGTCGAGCCCTGAATGTACTCTTTCAAGTCCTTCAAAGGACCACTTCCGGTAAATTACCTCTTCTGATGAACGGCCTCCCTCAACGAGGCTTTGAATTGGAACAATTTGATGGACGACCACGGACGAACCAACAAGGGACTTGATTCATCAACCAACCAATGGTGATGTTGAAGTCGAAAATGTAGCGTGTTCTTTGAAAACCCTTTCAACCGGATCCAACTGGGAGAATTCCATCCAAAAAGTGAGAATCAATAGGTTTTGGTATACATACATTTTCAAAGCCGCTTTTCCCAATTTCATGGGGTCGCGGTTCGAGCATCCCCAGGAGCGTCCTCCAGTGATCTCGATCGTGGGCAACAGACTCAAGCTCAGCTGGTGGGACGCCGAGCCTCTCGAGACAAAGCCGAGCGACGAAATCACTCTGCTTTGTACGAGGTCTACCGACAGATCTTTTGCCGGTCATCTTGGCCTGGAAGACTCCTCTTGGGAGCCTCTCAGGGGGCATGCGGCAGTCGTGACCAAACCACCTGGCCTGAGACCTCTCGATCCGGAGAAGCAGCTGCTCGACGTGGAGACACTCCCGGATGGCAGAGTTCCGCATCCGATCACGGCGCGATACGCCAGCCACTCGACGCAAGAATCTCATTTCGGCAGCTTGTATCCGCGATCTGGTGCTTTCGGTCATTACCCTAAGTTCATGACCATAGGTGAGGGTGGGAAGATAAACACTCTTGTTGTTGGTATTATTACCAAATACCTTTGCTATTCAAGAGTCAAGATAGTTAGTGACATCAAGAGGCGATTTTGCCCATTTCGATATCACGTGTCGAGGTCGAGCGTTCCTTAATCTTAGGGTAGGCCTAACCCTCTTAAAGCTAAATATTGACCAAACCACCTGGCCTGAGACCTCTCGATCCGGAGAAGCAGCTGCTCGACGTGGAGACTCTCCCGGATGGCAGAGTTCCGCATCCGATCACGGCGCGTTACGCCAGCCACTCGACGCAAGAACCTCATTTCGGCAGCTTGTATCCGCGATCTGGTGCTTTCGGTCATTACCCTAAGTTCATGACCATAGGTGAGGGTGGGAAGATAAACACTCTTGTTTTTGGTATTATTACCAAATACCTTTGCTATTCAAGAGTCAAGATAGTTGTTAGTGACATCAAGTTAATATCAAGTGACAACAAGTGACATCAAGACTTGTTAGTGACATCAAGAGGCGATTTTGCCCATTTCGATATCACGTGTCGAGGTCGAGCGTTCCTTAATCTTAGGGTAGGCCTAACCCTCTTAAAGCTAAATATTTTTGTATATATTTTTTATTATTCTTCCCGAGAAACTTCCGATCTGGTAACCACGGTTCGCCAAAGTTCCCGCAGAACTGCAGAAGCCTTGGAGATGCGGATCTCGTTTCCGTATCGCCCGTCACTCGAGAACCAGACCCCGAGATACTTGAACTTCTCTACCTGTTCCAGTGGGACCCCACTGACATGCTCCGAGTAGGATTTCTCGAGAGGACCATGACCTGTGTCTTGGAGACGCTCAGTTTCATTCCGGCCGCAGTTCATTCTGAGTCGAACCGATCGAGCACGCTCCGGAGCTCCTGTCGAGAGCGGGTCAAAAGAACGGCATCGTCGGCAAAGAGAAGTATCCTTACCGCGACGTCACCGATGTTGACCCCCTCCGGGCCGAGGCTGCGCATACAGATCCTGTCCATGTACACGAAGAACAGGAAAGGTGAGAGGACACAACCCAGCCGGAGTCCAGCGCGTACCAGAAAACAATCCGAACTCCTCCCGCTCCCTCTGACGCAGCTTCTGCAATCGCTGTAAAGTGACTGAACGGCCCGCAATAGCTGACCCTTGATCCCATACTCCTGCAGCACTCCCCACAGTTTTCCTCGGGGTACACGGTCGTAAGCTTTTCAAGGTCCACAAAGCACATGTAGATCCCCCCCCCCCCCCCCCCCCCCCCCCCCTTCCCCCCTCTTTATTTCGGGCCATTGAATTTTTTTTTCTTTCAACTAATGCCTACGTCGAACTCGAAGCAATGAGTCCCATTAAGCAGAGGGACCCCAGCATCATCCATTCTCTTGTCAATGTCCCTGAGAGCAGATGTGTGGAGCCTTCCAATGCGTCGCTATATGCATTTCCATGCGAAGTATATTACTCCTGATATTCACGAGACCATCATCATAGGTGATGATGGTCTCATCAGCTTCCGTCTTCCAATTTGAAATCCACACTCAGCCTAGCGTGTTAACAAGCAATTGCTTGTTGAAATAAGATAGCAAGGCATCACGCTTGTGCCTGATGATTCAACCCTTTATATTTGGAGTCGATTAGATCGATGCCACGAATTTCGTTTAAAGTAACAGAATCGAAAAGTTGGCAATAAAAGGATTAATAAATGTATCTCGCCAGAGCGCTTGATCTTGTTTATCCTGATTTTAATCTTTCTTGTTATGCATATTTCCTATAGAATACAGTGACGACTCATGGGTTAGGCGCTCCCCACAGGTCAATAGAGATAGAAATGGGGATCGTATGGGTGTAGAGTAGGGATGTGCAACACGCGGGCCGCATGTGGCCCGTGGACTTTCTTCTTGCAGTCCGGTAATGNGGGGGGGGGGCACGAGAACTCTGGGATATTATTATGCATTTCATGGGTCTTTTCAATTATTTTTGCTTCTTTTCTTGAAAAATGGGGAGACACTTGCACCCCCTGGCCTTTCGACGCTACGCGTTGTTCTACACCAGGGGTGTGCAACCTTTATCGGCCGTGAGCCGCATGGAAACGTGTGATTCTTGACGCGATCCACAGAATGCAAAAGAAAAGGCTCCCCTCTCTGTCCTCAAGGCATATGAGGGCATAAGGTCGCGCTGATTGACCGATGATCCTTACCTCATCCCCACCCCTAGGAAATTCCAACGTCCAAAAGTAGCCTTTGGCATTGAGAACCTTCTTCCTCCGGACATTTTCTAAGCTACTATGTTACTAAGGGATGACCAAAGTTGTGATGGGCCTTGGGCCGCAAAGAAACTTATCTTATCTGTTATCCTAATATGCATTACCGGACTGCAAGAAGAAAGTCCACGGGCCACATGCGGCCCGCGTGTTGCACATCCCTACTCTACACCCATACGATCCCCATTTCTATCTCTATTGACCTGTGGGGAGCGCCTACCCCATGATTAACCGGCACATATTCGTCCTTCTCTCCCCCCCCCCCCACTCCCCTCACTCTCGTCCCCTTTGGCTACGAGCTTGACATTTTAGGATTTTTGCATTCAACAATTGCAAATCTCTAATTCAAACATAATCAGAACTAGCCATCAAGGAAATTACTTGCATCCAACAGGAAAAGTTACTGAGATGTAAGCCTTCTACGAATGCAAATATACCATTGGAAAACATCCCAGGAATGCGAAGCACAGTCTGTCTTAACAATGCATATCACTGGTAAGTCTCTCTCTTCTCCCCTTGCATCGGACTCATGGGGTTTTTAGCATAGCCAGCGTAGGTAAGCAACGCCGTGCCTACTCTGGACGCATGATCTCATTCTGCTTTTACCTTGCAACGGCAAAAAGTATTTCCAACTGTGCTAATCGAAGAATAAATTAGCTAAAATATAAGTTTGAGAACTCTGCTTACCCTGACGAGCTGCCACTGATAGAATATGTCGGCAATATCTGGAAACCGCCCCGACGACCTCTGGTGCTAAATCAGAGGAAAATTAGGAAATAAAGGAGAGGACTCGGCCTAGAATAACTAGGTCCTCGCGGGAACTCTGGAAGCATTGTTGTCAACGGATCCGAGATATTCAATCGCATATCATGGCGAAAGCCTGTAACCTTGCAACGCACGCTCGGTCGTGGTTGCTCGATAAAATTTTTTCATCGTCCTTTTCGATGCCGGCAATCTCGGGCAACTGACTCGGGTGGAAAACCGATCCTTCACTGATACAGTTTCTTTTCGCAAAACTCTCTTCCTAATCGAATAATTTCAGCCTTCAACATCGAACATTGAATACGGCAACCGTCCCAAACGATGACTGGGAGACGATTTTCATCGGTTCCACTGCTCTTTCCCACTCCGTGTAAGGAGAAGACTCTTCGATCGATCCTCTGGTCTGTCTGATCAGGGGTAGTGCATCATTCAGATCGGATCGAGGCAAGCCGAAAGCTTGCCGAACGAAGGTTCAATTTATGCGGGAAAAAATTGAATCCCACAGAAAATTGGATTTCGTTGCCTGTCCGTTAGTCCATTAGCGCTTTAGCAGCTAAGCAGGCGCAATATATAGTTCTGAAAATTTTCACACTAATATCTTTGCATCTTGTCCTCGTGGGGCAAAACTTGCTCCAACGTGCCGTTTTCTTTCTTTTTAAGACTTTCATTTAAAACTTAATTTTGCCGTGAAAGATAAAAGCTGGCTCTTGCGTCGTCTGACGTCATGGATTCTATGAGATAGACATCCACTAGCAAAACAGAAATGCCCATAGACTCGATCCAATCGATGCAGGAGGTCAAGAGGTACAGGCAAAAAGCAAGTCATGAATTGATTGAGCTGCAGCCCTGCCATCTGGTAGCAACTCGAACAAACAAGGTTTCCAGGAGAGAAGAGCGATGGCGAATGAGTTCCTGCCTGTCTTCCCCGGTGAAAGAACGGCTCAAGAAACGTCTCGCGTGAGCTGCTTGGATATAAAAAGTGTTCTCAAAAGTCGAGGGGATTTCCCGCCAAAAACTTTTTATTCGATCGTGGTTTCGTCTTTACGGATTTCTAGGCCTATGACGTGCG